AGAAAGAAACTGGCCTCTTACACATTATTTCTCAAAGAGTTCTCAAGAGAAAAACTTCTTATTAGCATGACAATAGTGCACATAAAAGAAATCCAAGCAGAATTCAACAGCCTTGTAACGGAGCTCAAAAGGATAATTCCAAGACATCCTTAATCATTCAAACTGAAATGATTCAAAAATGTTAAAAGCAAAGAAAATTGAACCGTTCAAGTTCTTGTTAAATCTTGTCATATTTCTAGCTCTTCTCCTCGAGCAAATTTCTCATAAATCCTTCGAGTTCTAATCCCATTGGATTATTGGAATCTCTTGCTGAGCACCCATTGTCCTCATAGACCCACTACAAGACTTCTCAACTCAGCCCAAAATGAATTTCAATCATGGTAAGAAGTAGGATCATGAAGCCCTGTTATCCAAACTATCATGCATCAATAGAAGAGAACTTAATGGACAATGTAAAGGCCCCTTTTTAGATCCTCCAGACTGGCACTGTATTAGGGAGAATTTCTGAGAAGCTTGATAGGCGAAAGAAAGGGCACGTTCCAAAGGATGGAAGTGTAATCCCTGCTCCATCTGTACTGCTTTTTTAATAAGAAACTGAATCGACTTGGTTCAACACAATCTATACTGTTCAACACTTCCATTTATTACCCTCTATGTTTAAAGATCCAAAAAAAAAGGTGGCCATGCAACTAGAGAGGTATATTAGGAAGTTAATTAATATGGAAAATCTGAAGGGAAGCCCTCAAAATGACAATCTTGAGCATGGTAATTTGGCAACCTATTGTCACTGCTTGCAAAATGTTTGATGTTATACCTCTATGTGCTCTCTAAGGTGATATTTTCTGTTAGCCTATTAACTTTTATAGTTAACTATTGTTCCTACTGCTAACAGAACCAAATAGAATGCAGTTATGTTGCCTTCCTTGTGAACTCCGTTTTCAATGCGGATAGACCTGATAAGATAATGAACCTCACCAAAAAGGTATCACAATAAATAGAATGAATAAAGCAACTAATGTCAGTACTTACGTGCGTAATGTTCGAACATGGACATCCTGGTCATAAATATCAACAGTTCTGCCAAAGCTATGAGCAACAGCTGCCTGAAAGAAATTTAAAACACGATGGTACCTAGTGGGTTACTGTAGTCTGAAGGTCTAGATCAATATGAAAAAAGATAATTCTTCTGATTAAATAAAGGTAGAAAAGAGCATCTGATATTTCTTTTTTTTAACACTCTGCCGCCGTCCTTTAATTCTAAAATCAGGTTTCAGGATGTAAGTGTACGTGCGTCTGTATTAGAACTTGAAACTTAGAGAGTTACATAATGAAAAACCAAGGATGGGAATCGGCAATCACTAATTAAGTTTTACCTACGGTTACATAATAGCAGAAACTTTTTATTCTGAAGATGTATGTTTGTATGCGTATATATGTGATGACTAGTAAGCATCTTGAACATAGCAGAAGGAATGACTTCTAAGCATTTAAAAACTCTTGAATTAAGAAATAGAAAACCGTGAACATTTCACTTGGACTGAAGCATAATCCTGCCCAACTGCCCTCACCAAGGCCTGAATTTTGAGGGAGTACGGAATACGTAAACCTGTCTGCATCTGAAATTTGAAGAAAAATTGTAAGGTTAAGTGTACATTTGAAGAGATTATATAACAAAATAGAAGACAACGAGAACAGTTAACAGAAGCACAGGCATGCAAAAAAGGCAAATTTTAAGAGAAGTAAAGGTGACCGAAAAACCATGAATGGGAAATGAACATCTACAGAAAAGAAAAAAAAAAGGAAGAATATACAACAATCAAGTTTATATTTTAATATCTTGTTGTAAGAAACAATTTCATTGAGGTATTAAATTAACAAAAGGGATGAATAATCCACGGTGATTTCAAAAGGCTTTCCCAATTGGAAGAAAGGGAAACATAACCACATGAAGCAAAGATGTTCAACAATTTACACCAAGAAATAGCATAATAAATGACAAGATCAAAAAATACTTCAAATGTGTGCTTTTGTTTAAAAACTCTTTGATTTTGCTCGTTCCAAATAACCATAAAGAATACCCTGTCGATTGGATGCTTTTAGATAACGTTGTTTTCTATCTAACCTTCTAGTGCAGTTAATTTTGTAACTTATTTTGGTAGATGCTCTTGAGGGAATTAAAAGCAAGTACGGAGGTAAGAAACCCTATCACACAGCTATGACGCACCAAAAGCCAAGTTGAAAGTGGGCATTGCAAAAAACTTAAAGAAACGAATCCACTTTTAATTGTCATTAGTAAAGGTTAGTTACAACAAAATTGAATTAAGAGCACGATGTTAATTTTAATATGCACCATGTCAATGAAAGTCATGACACGTGTTTGTATCATGTACAAACATCATGCAGCTTATTCGACTAATATTAAAAAAAAGCTCCAGATATTCTATGATGGAACTTGACTGTAAATCATTGGTATCCTGACAACAAAACAGTGTAAAGATATTGTACCTTTGCCAGTGGCGTCTAACTTAGAAACAATGAGGTGACCATAGGAGTCAACTGTCCCCAGTAAGAGGTCATTGGATCCTGAATTAATGCACCATATCAATAATTATGATAATAATAATAAATGAATCTTGGAGACTATGGTTTGTGTAGTGTGTTGATGTCCAACTCATAGAAAATGATGTGTTGTTGATTCTTTGTTTTTTATGTGGCTATAAATATAGATATTTCATCTACGGCATTCTATACATGTACAACAGGTGTGAGCAAGAATAAGCTGACTTAACTATCAACTTCAGCCAGGACCAAGCTCTGGATCTCTGAGCGATGAGGACAGCGATTCAGCAATAAAGAGTCTAGAACCTTCAATAAGCAAATTGATATACCAAATAGGTAACCTTAAGCAATTGATATACCATGACTGAAACTATAATATGTTACTATACCTTTGTCTGTACAGGAATCAGTAAGCTATCTTTTCCCTCGACGACTGATGATTCTTCCATGGAAATCTAAAGAAAATAGAGTGGAATATATTGCAATCAATATTTTACCGAAAATGAAAGGCAGGCGCAAAATAAAATAGATTTAGTACATTAACCATTAATATATGTTGCCAGTTGCCACTGCATTCAAACAGTCACTTTATTCAGGTCTTACCTAACTATGCTGAAATAACCCCTAGATTCAAGCCCTACACGCATAAAGAAGGGGCAACAGTCAACGTGACAGCATCTCCCATCAACATGACAATCCAACGCCAATTTTTAGCAAAAACCAACCTTTTAAATGGCTTTCCATAGATAAGGTATGACTCTCTCTTGGGGTTGAAGAAAGAGAGATTTGTAGAGGGACCCCAAAGAGCTCAGATTCCAAATCAAATAATCACCTAATGACGAGGACAAGCTAATTCGAAATAAATTATAAGATATCTACCCATTCTAAAACTTCCCTATTGATTAAGAGGCATTCAGAGAAGAAAATTCCACAAATTAGCTCCTTCCTTCATTGATTGGCAGTAAAACTTTAAGAAATTGCTGGATAAAAAAAAATCTCAAAATTTGTCCTGTTAAAGAGGATCAGAAGCCCAAGAATAGGCCCCAAAATCAACCTCTACCAAATTTCACATCGAAGCCTCTTTCATATCCTCCTTGCAAATGGAAATGAATGTAAAGGACTCGTATAATTAGTAACCAGAGTTATAGCAGTAAACCAACCACTTCCATTAATGCCGAACTTAAGGGCTATGCCTTTCTAACTGTAATCTCATGCCAAAGAGATCCTCCTTCTTTATGAAAGTACCACGTCCATTAAGAGGAGAAAGCAACATTCCTCCTCCTTAAGTTGCCAACTCCAAGCCTACGTTCATCGTCCAATAAAACTACTGCCATCCTCAAAAGTAATAGCAGGCCACAAAATACTTGTGGAGCTTTTCTCGATGAATTAGGAAGTCTTAGTTGGGATTCAAAACAATATAAAATCCAAGTATGAGCACTAGATAGAACATATTGACTGAGAGTTAACTGACACAGACCTCCTTTAGACAAGCAAACAAACATCAGAGAATTGGAGGTGACTATGAGAACCTCCTTCATGGATCATTTACAGCCCTTTGACACTAGAAGAAATACATAAATCTAAAAGCATCAAAGAATCAGTTCGAATCGCCAAAATCCATCCGCATTGCAATCCGCCACACAATGCTATACTTACTAGCAACAACAAAACAGCCTTGTTTTCCGATACAACTCTATTACGAACACATACATCTAACATCAAAGCACCACACGACGCATTAGTTCGCGTTTTGCAATATCAAGACGCTCAAAAGCATACAGCAGCATACCTGGAGTTTAAAAACACGGGAACCAGAAGCAATGAAGACATAGCAGGAAGAACCATCTGGACTAACCTAGAAGGAGAACAGAAGCCAAAATAGATTGAAAGAGACGGAATAAAGAACTCAGGGTGGATGAATAAGCAGTAAGAAAAATAAAATACGTACATGGAGGGCGAGACGAGTGGGCTGGAGGTTCCCGGGAGAAGGATCGCCGATGAGAGCGGGCGGCACAACCGCCTTCCTCAGACCTTTTGCCTTCAACATTGCTTAGCTGCAGAGGCGGGAAAAATCTCCGGCGGTGGACTGAAAGTTGATACACCAAGCCCAGAAAGGAAATCGCCCAGTAATAAAACCGATGCTACCCGGCCGAATTTTCCGCCATTTTAGGTTTAAATAAGGTTTGTTAATTAAATTTTTTTTTTAAAAAAAAAATTATGTGTATTAATAGTAATTTTTTAAAGTTTAACAATGCTAATTTTTAAATTTAACTTTAATAAAAATTAAAATTTTAAAAGTATTATTGAAATAATTAATAATAATAATTTTACCTCATAATTATTTATTTTTTTAATAATTAAAACGTTTATTGTTTTTAGAATTTATACTACACAATAATAATAATAATAAAAGGAAAAAAAAAACCGTTTTTAGAAACAAATTGTCGTTGGATGAAGAATTATCTTATCGTCTTCGGGGCCGAACTATCCGCGAGGCGCGAACACTCGCAGTCATCAGTTCATCCTGACTGAAATTTTCTTTGATGGATTCAAGCTTCCTGCAATTATCTCGTCCACTATCAGTCAAATCCACATTTCTCAACGCGATTCGAAAGACTAGTTCCATTTATTCGATCCCCGTCGGAAGAAATTTTCAGTTCCAAAGGCATTTCAAGCTGGAGAGCAGTAAAAACGGCGGCAGAAAAACCCAACGCGATAGCGCTTTCGACGAAGCTGCATTCGAGGCCGAGAGGTCTCGCCTCGACGCCCTAGCTATGAAATCCATGGCGGAAGCTTCAGTTAGGGACACTGAAGGCGCTTTGGACGACGATCCGAAAGCTTGGAAGTGGGTGATCCGGAAACGGATCTGGGATTTTATGGAATCTCAAAATATTGCTGCTAATCCCCGACCTGTTCATCATCGAATCCCTAATTTTGTCGGCGCCATGGAAGCTGCTAACAGAGTGAGCTCCTTGATTCCTGAATTGTTTTGTTGGAAAGAAAATGTTTGAGTCGATCTTTTCTGTGTTGGAAATTTTGATTCCTTCCGTATATACCTGATGAAATTGAGTTGTATCAGTTGTGCGATTTGGAAGTATTCAGGGATTCGCAGTGCGTGAAGGTTAATCCGGATTCACCTCAGAAGGGTGTGAGGCTTCTTACACTTATGGGTCAGTTCTGCTGATACTTTTAATGAAATATCGACCACTGTCTGCCATTTACAATATCGTCAAGAGACTATGTTTCAATGCAAGTGAACAATACATTTTTTGCTTTTCTGCACAACCCTTTAGTGATTATCAAGAACAGAGTTCACCTCAAGGATGTTGGATTCGAATCTTACAAAGCCCAAGTGCAAAATTGTATGGCAAAAGACTGGCACGAGTGATGTGAGGGGAAACTTCAAAATGTGTCAACTGGTCATGTCTTAGTTTAGTTTATTACTAAAACTAAGAAAGATCTGAAATTATGAATTTCTATCAAACGTGGTGGTTGGATGTGTGGACGACGTAGTCCGATTTAGTTATCATTTTCAGGTTGTTGAATGTGAGATCCCACATCGGTTGGAGAAGGCAACGAAGCATTCCTTATAAGGGTGTGGAAACCTCTTCCTAGTAGACGTGTTTTAAAACCTCGAGAGGAAGTCCTTGATTGGAAAGTCCAAAGAGGATAATATCTACTAGCGGTAGGCTTGGGCTGTTACATGGAATCAATACAATGTAAACTTCCACTGAATCGTATGTATCATCTTTGATTCCCGACGAGCATGACAAGCATGACAGATTTTTTCGGGTTAAATCACAAACTAAATTGTATTTTGATTATGATCAGGTGGCAAAAAACTATTAACACCTCAGCCTCGGTTGAGAACAGGTTTTTTCTCCATAGTCGAATCCGGAATGCTGACTTCTGCTACCATCAAGGAGGCCTGCACTTCTGTTGGGGTAGCAAAGTATGGAAAGCCAATTGGACTTGATGAAAAGATCAAAGTTGATCTGATCGTCATTGGCTCTGTTGCTGTTGATCCCAGAACAGGTGCTCGCCTTGGCAAGGGTGAGGTAAAAGTGTTACTGTTGGCTTAAAACATATTTGCTCGGAAGATTTGATAATCCTCGGGTTTGCCACTTTGGAAATGGAATGTATTGATTAAGGGTCTGTTTTCAAACATGCAAACATGCTTAAACAAAGTATTTTTAAGCCCTTAGAAAGTGAATTCGAATAAGCCCTCTTATGCGATGGAACGAGTATACTTGATTCTATCTATGTTTCTTTACTCGATTCAAACAAACTCTAAAATTCCACTATAAAGTGCAGGGATTTGCAGAACTGGAATATGGAATGCTTCGGTACATGGGCGCCATTGATGACTCGACTCCAATTGTTACTTCTGGTTGTATAACTACTCTGCTTCTATCGTATCTTGTAGCATCTCATTCTTTTCATTATTTTCAGCAACATGATGTTGTGTTGATAAATTGCAGTTCTTGATATCAAAATATTCTTTACAAAATGAACTTTGATCGTGCAATTTTAGCCGTGTAGATAGTTTAGCAGTTAGTTTCCCAATATATATCATTTTCAGACCTCCCCCATCCTCGATAAAAGAGAACTCGTTTTCAAATTTACCTACAAAGAATTATCGGTCGAGATACCTTCTGTCGAGCTGTTGAGATAATTCGTGCACATAGAGCTGTTGGTACACAACCAGAAGTTTAGATACAAATTGATAGCTTACATGTCATTGGTACCTCTGTTTGCTTAATACTTGTTAAAAATCTTTGTGAGATTCTACATCGATTGGGGAGGAGAACAAAGCATTCTTTATAAGGGTGTGGAAACCTCTCCCTAGTAGACGCATTTTAAAGGAAAAGTCCAAAAAAGACAATATCTGCTAACAGGGGGCTTGGGTCGTTATAGCCTTTTTACTTTCGGTTGTACATGTTTATCAAATGTCCCGTCGTAATACGAACTTCCAATGTCTTGCAGTGCATGATTGCCAATTGGTTGATGATATTCCAGTTGAGAAGCTATTAGTCCACGACGTGCCCGTAGACATCGTATGCACACCAACGCAGGTCATTTTAACCAACACGAAAATCCCTAAACCCCAAGGTTAGCAGCTTTGCTTTATCCATGCCAAACTCCCCTCTTGAAATACAAGTCCTGTTATTTCAGGTGCCCGCATCTATATTCAATATTTGTAGAACATTAAGTCAAAATTTTTCCTACTAAAGATGTCTTTTCTTTTCATATTTCAAAAGAATTCTTGAGATTGAAGGGACGCGAGTATATGAACAAGTTTGTCAAATATCAATTAAGAGAGTCTCATATAACACCCCAAAATGTTCTGAATTGCAGGCATTTACTGGGATATGTTGTCTCCTGAGAAGCTGAGCCAAGTTCGAATACTCAGGGAGCTCAAACGTCGGATCGAACGGGAGACCGGAAAACCGCTGCCGTGTGGCCCATCGGAGAAATTACCACCAACAGCTCAACGAAGCTCGAAACCTGGACGACGTGCTTCCTCTAAGAACTGATCAAGGGGAAATGGAGAGAAGAAGAAACAAGCCTGCATTAGTTTTTTTCTTTTCTCGTCTTTCTTCCTTAGTTTTGGTGTTGAATAAAAACTCTCCTCCAAGGAAGATTTGAAAGCAACAAAGAAATGAAATATAAATATATACTTTAAGGAGTTCGACAATGGCAATAATTTTCATAAAAAAATGGTATAAAATAGAAGGAAAGCACGCTAGAAGGAGGGCTTGAACCTCCGACCTTGTGGTTAACAGCCACACGCTCTAACCAACTGAGCTATTCCAGCTTTGTTAATACGAATGAAACATTATTTATTTAAATATAGTTAAAATTAATTTTTTATTTTCCGAATTTTCACAGATATTACGCAAATTGTATTTAAATTACAGCCCAAAAAATTATATGCAACGTAGCTAAATATTTAGTTTATTTATTATTTTTATAATAAGGTTGAATAACTATTTTTTATTCTCGTCTTATCAAAACTAATATAAATTTTTTTTATTTCAATTTATTTTTAGAAAAAATAAAGAAAAATAACTAAATTTCAAAGTCTTTTGGTTGAACTTTATTTTGTTTATTGGATTATAAGTACCAGTTTAACAAGTTGCTAGTCAAGCTTTTTGGTTTTTTTTTTTTTTTTTTTTCTCTTTCAAGTGACTTACTAATTAATTATTTTATTTATTTGAAAAATAATAATCTAGATTTTTTAAAAAATTTATTTAATTAACCAAATATTTATTTTTATTATTTTCACTAGAAATTCAAGGTTTTTTCAAGAAATGTGGAAGCATAAAGAAATTGAAAAAAATAAAATATACATATATTTTTTAATATACAAAATTAAAAGATCAAAAATAGTTATGAATAAAATAAATCATACCCACAGAATTCAAACTATTGCATCAGGTTGGTAGAAAATGTAATTAAGAAAAAATAGTCAAAAGTCAAAGCAAAGCAGCATGCCAATCCATTATATCAACTCTCAAAATAAATATTTCCAAACTCAAAAGTCAACGCCCCAGAGATGATTTTAAACCACTTATTCAAAAACAAAAAGTTAAAATTAAATTGGACTGAGTTATATTCCTTTTAGATTTGTCTCCGTTCCTAATTTTTAGTTAATGGTGTAACATAGACAATATTTTTTAAAATAATTTTAAGAAAAAATAACTTAACAACACGACCTAATCAAACCTGAAAACAGAGGGTCGGGTTGCTCGAGCTAAAAGATTTTTTTTCAACTCTTATACCTAATTAAAATTAAAATTTATGAACCTCCAAATAAAAATTAAAAAAAATTATAATTTATTTACAAAAAGAAAAAGAAAAGGGAAATAATTAATTCCACTACAAATTTGAGAAGTTGGCAAACCCATGTCCCAAAATCAATTATTTGGTCAATTAAATTTATGTTTTTGTAAAAAAGTTTGAAGATTCTTTTCTCACTTCTTAAAACACTCTCTTTCCCTAACCTTTAATTTTCTCTCAATTTATATATATATATATATATTTTGGTCGTCTGTTCTCAAATTATAGATCTAAAAAGTTGATATATATTTATATTAATGCTCGTAATTTAGCATCAAATTTCAATACCTAATCGTCTCAATCTTCCCCGGCCCATGATCATTTTACATATTTATCTTCACTCAAATGTTTATTAGAAGAAAACAAATCAAAATTTTGTTTTAAGCTAAACATACTTCGTAGTAGAGTTCTTATGATTAAACTACCGAACAGTACAATATGCTGGATGATAAAAGTCCCACATCGACTAATTTAGGGAATAATCATAGGTTTATAAGTGAGGAATACTAACTATGAGGCCTTTTGGGGAAGCCCAAAGCAAAACCACGAGACTTTATGCTCAAAGTGGACAATATCATATCATTGTGGAGAGTCGTGTTCGTCTAACACAATATACCTTGTTAGTATAAATATTAATTATCAAGCATTTCTAAACGATAAGTTTATATTTTTAAGATATTCTCATTTGAATATGGTCTCGATTCATTCATATGCTTCGATAATAAAATTACCATAATTATTCGGAATGTGAACAGAAAATTTGAATTTTTGAAAACTAGATTCATGCACTAGCATTTAATATTCTTTACTAAAATGTTAATTTTCATTCAAATTAAAAAAAAAAAAAAATCAAACTCATTGCCAAAAATAGTGAATAAAACAAAAAAATCTAACCTTTCATAATTAACCCTCAATGGATTTTTAGCCACTCATATAAATTCTATTAATTTTATTTATTTGACTTTTTTTTTTCGAAAATTTTTCCTTAAGCATGTTTTAAACAATTATTAATTTCCCATACTTTTATTATTCTTTGAAAAAAAAACACCCTTCACTTAAAATTTGTGAAAACTGAGTTTATTTCAAAATATTTTTATTTTTTATTTGTTTTATCGAAGGTATTTAAAAAAATGGCTGCAAAGATTTTTTATTATTATTATTAAATTAAATAATTTATTTGAGAATTAGTGAGGAACTCCATAATTCTTGTGACGCGTGTCCTCTTATAATTATGCCTTTTTTTTTAAATTCAATTAACCTCTTTTTTTATTATTATTATTAATTAAAATTATGACTCTTGCACGGGTGTGGGATTGGCACGCCCCCAACCAAATTCCTTCCATTTAATTATTTTGCCCCCGCACGTGCCAATCAACATCCTTTTTCTTGATTTGGTCGCACAAAAGTACCATTTTTTTTTAATTTTTTTAAAATAAACATTAATTTTTTTAGAAAACATTATTTCAATGTAGTTTTAATAATTACAGCTCTATTTATTTAAAACATACTCCACGTCAGTAATAAACGGACTGTATCATGACAGTTATATTGATGACGTAGCATTAAAATGATGATTTATTTCATTTTGTAATAATTATTACGGTAAAAAACAATGTATCATTGCTATTAAGAGGAGATTATTGCACAAATCAGGGACACGAGACAAAGAGTGGAAGCGAATCCGATGATAATGATACTTAATCATATTTATTTAAAAATTATATTTTTATATATATATATAGCTGACAAAGCTGTCAGCCAATGAGCCAAAGGAAAAAGAACGGAAAGCAAATAAAATGAATTGATTAATAATAATAATTCATGGCTATTGTCCATAAAATAAACGTGACAAAATTAATTTAGATGGTATATTCTCCAAAGCCAAATTATGTAATTAATTCGAAGTATCTAAATTAAATGAACCCACAAAATTAATATTTTATTTGTAATTCATAAATTTTTAATGTCTCGTGAAAGTTATCTTATTTATAATCAAATAAATTATAAGGATATGTAAATATTAATAAATAGAAATAACAAATACGCTAGAAAGACAGTTATTTAGATAATTGTCTTATAATAAAATATCAAATATGATATATATGGTAAACTATAATTTATTAGTAAATATACTTAACAATTTTATTTATTTCAATAAATTTTAAATTAAAAAAAAAAAAAAAAAAAAAAAAAAAAAAA